AAAGTGATAGCTATGAAAGTTGGGAACAACGACTTGGTTCTACTGAATATATTAGTCGAACAGTTTTTGTGGGTGCTTTACATGGCATGATGACTGCTTATGCGTTGGCTCGAATATGTCAAGAATTATTCGGAGATGTAGAATATGCAGCTATTAATACTGATAGAAATAAATATCCTATTAGTAAATATATTTTGTATAGTCTGAAGTAGTATTTATCTACTGAATACATTTTGGTAACCAAAAATTGCCTTTATATATTATCAAATTTATGCGATGAAAATAGGGAAAACTATACATTGTTTCGCATTTTTTCCAAACCAACTTTTTCATGAAAAACAAAGTGCAAAAGCATCCGCGTTTCTCTGATCTCCTATGTCTGATCGAACTGAAACTTTTTTTCACATATAGTAGGCAGTATTGAGATGAGTATTTTTTTTTTGTTTCAAAAAATATTGTTCTACTGATTTTTGGTAGCTTTTACAAAGAAAACATGCATTTTTAAGGATACTTTTCATATTTTGGTCTTTTTATTCGAAGAACAAAAAATAAAGAGATACCAATCAAACATAGCATCTCGAAGAAACGAGAGCGAATATTGGAAGTTTTTTTCGTTATTGTGATCCCAGTATCTCATAGAAAACGGCATCCGAAAACTTTCAGTCTATGACAATTTTTGCTCCACTCATCAAGATCTACATGTCTTGAAAATTTCAAATTTTTCTAATGAATCGTTCTCCAGAAAAGGGATGGGTATCCCCTTAAATCGTATACGAACTACTCTAATTTGGTTCAATGTTTCGAATAACATATTTATTATCTTTAATTAGGTTGTGGACGTGTTGTGTTTATGAATATACATAGTTACTATGCACCTGTTACTGCTAATTATTTAATGATTGAATGTGATAAATTTTGTAAAGTGATATGTTCTATTGCGAGATTCATTTCTATTTGTTTTTCTTACTATTTTTATTAGATACAAACCGATCCATATTTATCAGATAGTGTACCTTGTGTAGGTACTAATGGACAACAGTATCCAAATATGGGACAATTTTTTTGTTGTTCAGTTAAATGTATGAAATATTATTGTGTAACATGTTGGGATTTAAATCCTAATCATGCAATAACACAAATAAATACCAACAATAAAACTATTGAATGTGAACTACTAGCTTTAATTCATAAACCATTAATACGTAACGCTCGAACTCCAGAAGTTTAATAAATTTTATGGATTTTTTTTTCGACTTCTGTGTGCTGATGATATTCGCTAGTCTGAGAATTTTACAGTTTTTTTTTATATTGCGTGTTGCCTTTTCGTTTTTCTTATAAAAGTACAGTTTTTCAGAACATTTGAATAAAAAGTGATTATGCACAAATATTGGAGGTTTTTTTTTGTTAGTTTTTCTCTCAAACTATTTCTGTTACTGTCGCTATGCTACGAACATTGTGTATGCATGACATTTTATATATTTCATCTGTCCGTTTTGTGTTAAGGCAAAAAAAAGACGTATTTTTGTGATTTGTTTTGTTCGTTTATTGTGTCAAGTATGAGTGCGTCTGTTTTTTTACTGTCTGTTCAAAATTTCGGAAAAATTCGATAGAAAACAGAATCCGTAGAAAAATATCTTGTCGTAATTTTATTAGCTCTTTCAAAGATGGGTCGATAAAAGACAACATAAAAAACTGAAGAGTTTTTATACTTTGAACAATACATAAATTTTCATGACAACAAAAAACAACTAACACGTGATATTTTGTTCAATAAATTTTTTTTCTTAGTATGCATTACGCTGTTATACTAGATGACAAACGAGGTAATTTAAGATTACTTCAATATGTTCTCATCATTATTCACATATTAGGATTTGGGTGTGGTTGTGATTGTTGACGTAGGGTTTTGATGAAAAGACCACCCACACTTACCGCATACCTAGGCATTCACAGCCAGACCCCACACCCTTGATGGTACACTTGATGTTTTTATGAGTGAAATGCAGGATGAATATGAGGAATATGAGAAAATGGAAGGTGAGCATAGATCGTAGCACAGCAAGGTCTACTCTACTCTATAAACATATAATCAGCTATCATCAATTAGTTTTATATGTATTTTATCATCTGTTTTATATAACAGGAATTCCACTCTGGCGATGCACATCCTGCCTTTCTTATTTCCGCTGCATTCTTTAAATGCATTTGTTCTATGTTGCATTGTCACATGTCATCAGACATGTACTTTAACTTATGTTGCATGTTCCTATGCAATATCACATTATGACTCCTTCTCATAGTATTGCAATAAAACAGGATGTGAATGTATTCTAAATTCGGACTATAGTCTAAGAAATATACTGATTTGTTGTTTCTTGTATCTTCATAATATCGAAATATGAGAATGAACTCCATACTTTGTTATTCATGCATATACCTAATTTGTAATAACTACATAATACTTAATCAATAAACCATTTTGAGCACAATATACTGCATGAATATTAATAAAAAATTCAAGTCTATTTTGTATTGATATACTTAATGAAATGATATGGTTTACGGATTTGATTTAAAAAAACTGTTAGCGCAATCTCTACATGATAAAAAGTATGAAACCCGATATTGTGAATCATATGGAAATTGTTTCATTCTATCTATTTTGGAACACATTTCTTCATCATCCTTTACTTAATCCTCTAGAACTACAATAAGAAAATAGTTCATATACTCTAGTGAGATTTTAATGATATACGATTAAAGACCGTATATTAACAACAACTGTCACGATCTGTAGGGAGAGGGGTGCAAATTTCTATCCTATATACTTCAACACTTCTTTTAGGTCGTGCTTGACAAAAACAAAGCTCATCGGTATCTATATAGTGAACAGCAATTGGACTGACTTGAATATTGAACGATCGATATCAAATTTAGTAAGATCAGATCGACTGATCGGTATTGACTAAGCAACATTTATGCAATCACTGAAATCATAAAAAATAAGAATGACAAATATAATTTTATAGTTAGATTTATGTCAGTAAATACATCTGATCAATCAAAAATTTTGATGAGTAGTAGTTCAATTATTAAGAACGACAAGACAAAAAAAAAAGTGAAATATCTCTTTTCAAAGATTGTTATTTAATTAATCAATAAATACTGTTTATACATATTTTCTTAATTAGAAAAGTCTAGCTTATTTCTCCTTTTGTTATTGTCAACATTATTTATTTATTTATTCTAAATTAGTATAGACTAAAATTCAATAATGTACATATCCCTTTCTGTTCACTATGACTTAATACCATACACATAAATATAGTAAATTTAATTTATTTATATTGAATATTATCATAAATAAGTTTATTAAATATAACAAAATAACATAAAGAAAATTAGTACTGTTAATTAATATTCTTCTAACTTGAAAATAATCGAAACAACCAAATCAATATATAGTAAAAACATACTTATAACAAAACAAAAAAAAAGTAAATTTGATTAAGATGGCATATGTACTTTTCCACAACTACCATCAAACCACCATTTATGTATATTATCAATAATATTCGGTTTTGAATCAAGATGAAGACGTAAACAAAGATCACAAAATGGAGTAGAAAAATGACCTAAACCCCAAACATAATCTTTTTTCCATGAAAAATATGATAAATATTTTTCTTTATCATAACGAGTTTCATTGAGATATCGTGCAAAGGAACTCATAGTAGAAAATTGAGTTGCATCAATATATCCAGATGATGGAATAAAATAGGAATAATTTGTTTGTCCGAATACAACTGGTACAATTGGATATTCAAGTGTAGCAAAAAATTTCTCAGCTAGAAAAAAATAAAATAATTCTTGTTTTTTTTTTCTATGAAAATCTATTTAGTAAGATGCATTTAAAGCAAAGTATGAATAAAAATTTTGATACTCTAATATTTTTACATAATTGAATCGAACTTACCGAGATACCACCTTCAAAAACTGAGCATTTTTCAAGAAATTTCAACATCTCGTTCATTAAGAATACTGACAAATCTTTGAAAGTAATTTATTCAGATTCAGTGTCAAAACTTAGTAGAACTATGTGGTTTTTGAGTCAGTTGCTTATGTTGAAGTTTGAACAGTTTCGATGGAATTCGTTCACAATGAACTGTACCAGAGATGTTGGTGAGTGATTTTTTTTTGACCCGACCCGTTGGATGTCGAATTCGACCCGCCTGACGGGTTGAGCGATATTTTTTTCGGCCCGCGGGCTACTCCACGCTTTGACGATTCTTCAACCCGTCACGGGCTGCCCACAGGTTAATGCAAATTTAGTTGCGATAATATTTATAAAAAATTCACAAGTTTAGTGAATCGATACATTCATTTTTTGTGTTCATTTTATTAAAACAAATATTTTGATCGTTAAAATATTATCTTTTATTTCTGAGTACATTCATAAGTATTACAAAATTAGAAGTTCAGCTCAGGGAGATAAAGAATCCAGTGAAAGTAATAGCATATGTTCATGTTCACAATGTGAAAAAAATTGACAGCTCCTATTATGATGATGATAATAACAGCTGTTCAAAAAACTTGAGAATTAGATAGACTATATATCATTTATTCTCATTTTGTAAAGTGATCGAACTTATAACAACTCTTTCAATAAGCTTGGTTTTGTACGTGATTTGCAAGCACAATAAACAAGAACAACTTGAGGAAACTGTCTTTCAACAGTAGCTGAACTCTTTAGAAAAGTTTGACTGAGATATTAACTACAAACTATAATAAAAACTGATACACGTACGAAAAGATAGATCCTTTTGTTGCGTCACTCTGCTCGAAAAAACCAAAAAGATAAAACGAACGGAAAAAATATTAAGAAAAGATGAAGCGAACAGGGAAAATGTGAAGATGCATAAAGAAACGATCGAACTTAGTATTTTGTGCAAGCAAGTTTCGAAAGAGAAGCACATTCATGTATGTGTATGCTTCGAAACAATTAGATGAACGACTTGAATCAAGATATAGTCAATACAAATGATAGAAAGAATTTTGATGTTAAAGTAAGAATTAGTGGGAAAGACAAAACCAATCATTGGTGGAAGTTAGAAATGAAATGAATGCATGCGTAAATCTATGTAGAAAGGAAAAATTAAAGATGAAAAGCAAAATTCATAAACAGGTTGAATCGGGTTGAACCCGCGGGTTCAAATAAAAATATAACGCGACCCGAAAAACCCGTAAATCTCAAAAATACTATCCCATGACCCATCAGAGGTCCAACCCGACTCGCGGGTTACGAGTCGGGCGGGTTGTAGTAAAACAGGTTAACCTGTCAACATCTCTGAACTACACCACTAGCATAATTATTAATTTCAAGCTAATGCGTAAGTGTTCAGAAAAAATGCTTATAGATCTTTTTGCGAAAATAAATACATTCTCAGGCTTAGAAGAAATATTTCGTCAAACAAATCTCGGCGTGTATACCTGAACATATATTGTCTTCAATTATGAATGCATGGTTTTGTGATAAAAACATTTCTGAACTTCTAGAAGAAATTGAATATGTTCAGTTTTCATATAGAGAATCTAAAGATTTTTTTTTCTAGATTATGCTGCAAACGAGCATTGAAATGACTCCACAAATAGATTGTGCTTTCCTATTAGCTGTTTGGTCAAGATTTTTCTAACTCGGGACTGACACGTCGCCATGAAGATCAAAGCAAAATATTGTCCATATTGAACTTACATATTATTATAGAACAAATACTAAAACAAATTAATAAGTGACAGAAGTTGCTTTAAAAAAATCGATTCTCAAAGGGGACAGGGGAAATCTTCTAATGTGTCGAAGACTTCATGACATTTGGAATCAGCATACAAAACTGCATTAATAAGCATATATTCAATCAAAGCATCGATATTCAAACATTGAATTATGAGTGCAGCTTTTTAACCGTTTGTCATCAGTTTCGAAAGAATTGATTTTTCTCAGCAAGGAAAACAATATTTTTTCAGACCTATACGAAATTTCTTTTGTCTTCACTTCGTTGTTCGTCAGATGATGTGTAAACAGTTTTTGACGCTAAATCTGAATAAATTACTTTCAAAGATTTGTTATTATTCTCAATGAACGAGATGTTGAAATTTCTTAGAAAATGTTCAGTTTTTGAAGGTGGTACCTCGGTACGTTCTATCCAATCATGTCAAAATATTTGGATATCAAAATTTTTACTCATGTTTTGCTTTTCGATGTATCTTAACTTACTTGTATAATCTAAACAAAAACTATTTTCATAGCTAAGAAGAAAATAATAATTTTCAGCTATAAATTCTCGACAATTCTTATTTGATGGACATAATTCTCCGCATCGTCCATAAACTTTGACATCAATATAACGTTTTAATTCTTGTATAAATGGTAATCGTTGACTAGGAACATGACAATTTGATATTAAAGCAGCCACTGTACCTAATTTTTTCTTTTGTAATATTTCATCAGATGGTCGATAATCAACTTTTCTTATTTTCCAATTAAGTTTACGCGTAGAATTTTCATTTAACATTAATTGATAAAAAGGACTTGATTTATGAATATATGCATTTTCAGAATAATATGGTGTTATTATATGAGAATCAAATCGATAAGTCATTGTCCAATTAAAAAATTGATCATAAGCTTGTAAATTAGGTGTATGAGGTGGTGCTTCCCATAAAGCAGATACAAAACGTTGTTTGGGATGACGGTTTTTTTTAGCTCGATTTTGATCGAAATCATCACGCAAATGAAAAACAATAGCATCTGCTTCCGAAAAACGATTATAATCAGTTGTTATATCACAATGATTAGATAAAAATGGACAATAGAGTTCAGTCACTGAAAAATAAATAAATTTAATTCATGGAATATATGTATATATACACTATAGATTTTACTTTTTGCTGTTGATGATTGATTTAATGCATTTATACGCCAATTTGGATCACCATACAATCCATTTTCTAATAAAATAAGTTTGCTTGTATTGCCTATGAGTGATAAATTTTGAGTAAAAATATGAATAGGTAAATGAGGATAATAATCATAAAAACGAGTTTCAAATTGATTTGTTATAGATGATAATTTAAATATTGAATCATTTTCTTGATCTATTTTTAGGAAATTTTTTGTAGATGAATTAACAATGTTAAATGAAGTTATTAAAGGTATTTTTAATGGCTTTAATGTATCAATATAATCATTGGTAACTAATAAATAAAATAAATATGCACATAAAACAAATAAACATAAATATTTGAAATATTTTTGATATTCCATTTCAACGCGTCTGTTGAAGATAAAATAAAAGTTATATTATAATAAATAATTTTATCTATAAAATAACAAGATAAACTATAAAAATAATTAAGAAACTATTTTTTTGTTTATGGAAATTAATGTTCTTTTTTATTTTTTCTAAGAGGTCGGGAATGAAAGATTAGAGCAGATATTGTTGTTCTTTTTTCTTTATATATGGTTAGATAGAGTCTGATAAGCTGATCAAGAATGTATAGCTTTAATTTTTTTTTGTCATGAGTTTTAAAGGAAATTTTGTCTGCAAAAAAGAGTAAACTTTCGATAATTGACCAATTTTTGAAGTTTTTCATTTCTTTGAAATTTCAAATTGTATTATTCAGATTCAGTATGAAAAACTTGATTCTGGAACCTTATTATTATTTCAAACGTCTCGCACCACTATCTTCTGTTGTCGCTATTTGTGCCATGTAGTGTGTCGCCACCAACATTGAGATAATAATAAAACCAACCATTTGAGTAGATTGCTTCATTCTCGCTGTTGTTTTTGATTGCTTTAGGAGGAATTATTAGTTAGGTATAAGGATCGAAATGATATGATTATGTAGTAGTGATTCAGCTTTATATAGTCATCGACCGTCTAGCAAAGAGAAAATTACAAAAAAATATTTTCTTGTAACGGAGGACGAGAGAGAGAGAGCGATTTGTTTCTTGCTCTTAAAGGGTGATTTGTTTTCTAGTCGATAGTGGTATATATCGCTGCTAGTTTAGAGCAAAATAACGTGTATATTGTCATAGTCCTACCTTTCCCTTCGCCTGTAAGCTTAACCCTATCTACAGTTGAATAGGCTTTTTCATTTTGTTTTCCGCTTTATGTGACTGTCAATAATAAAAAAAAGCTATTAATTAAAAATTATGCATCTGCGACAATTATTTAGTCATGAGCTAGTTTGTTAACCTGTCCAATTACAAAAGGACGTCTCTTATTTGTTATTTCATAGCAAAGAGAGAGAAAAACATATTGGCTTGGTGACTAACATCGAAGATGTAAATAATAACGATCAAGCGAAAAAAATATCATAGAAAGTATTTGATGTGAGGAAGAGAGAGAGAGAGAGAGACAGTGAAAACGATACACTATTACAATAAAAGATTATTCATGCATGACCAAAAGCAAATAAAGAGAGAAAAGATAAAGATTTGTTTGTTTTTTCTCTATTTTTCAGTCTTTCTGTATCAGAAAAAACAAAGATTTTTTTAATCAAAAGATAGCTCGACGTATAACTCTATCGAATCAAGTAGAAGTCTTTCAAAAAAAAAATCAAAATTTTGAGTGATTTTTTACAAAAATGCTGAATGTCCTATCAAAATAATTTGAATTATTTCAGTCAGAAAATTCAGATCACTCCAGCAAAAATAGCTAGGATTTCACTTCTCCAATATCATATTCATTATCGGTAATTTATAATTAAATAAAAAAACATATCATTCGATAGCTCAAAGTCTCTTCTATGAAACCTGATAAGTACTCGTCAATCGATCGAACTACCGCATTTTTATTCTTAAAATACTGAAATCTACTGAGCTTTTTTTATTCTTTCAAAAAATGACCTGAAGTTATTCGAATCATTCAAGCAAATTCTGCTAAAGATAACTTTGAAAATCTCTATGACTTCTCCAGTACATTGTCAAGTACTGATGTTGAAAAAAAAGTAATTCATCTCGCTTTGCTTTATTTTTTTATGTAAACAAGGAAAGAAGACAATCTAGTTTGACTAAAAATCCTGTGACTTGAAGAAACAATTGACAAGAGTATCCTTTTCCGATTCATATAGCCAACTATTTACTTAAGATTTTACTTTTACAACACGTCTTTTAAAAAAAAGTTTATCATTGTCGATCCAGCAATGTCTCAACTACACAATGACATAATTATCAAAAGCATTAGTATCTAATATTATTGAAACACAGAACTATTGATAAAATAACACGATGTTTCAATATCTCCAAAATTCTCATTTATTCAGTCGTTGCGTTGAAAGAAGTTTAAAAAAATACAGCATAAAACATAATCAGTGTACATCACAGGAAAGACTGATATTGCCATCGTATTTGATATCTTGAATTTGTTGCTAATATTCCTATAATATTGAATAAAAAACATACATAGAAGTCAACTTAGTGTAGATGTTTATCATACAAATAAAAGTTTAATATAAAGATACAAAGTGTTGATATATTTTCTGAGTCTTTTTAATACATGTTTCAATAGCATTCAATGATAAGCAATTGCAAGCTTCATCGATTGCATTTTCGAGTTCATGTTGTGACTTTGAATTCTTGTTTTTAATTTTCTGTTTCATAATGTTCTGAATCAGTTCAATAATGTTAAATCAGTACTATTTTCTATTCATTGACATAGTTCAATAGTATATTATAAGCTAGCAAATACAGTTGGTGAAGCTTGCAATGGTCTACTACTAAATGTTGTTCAAGCATGTATTAAAACCACTCAGACAGTATGCCAATACTTTGTATCTTCTTATAAAACTTATGTGTATTATAAACGACTACACTGGTACTATTCATATATATCCAAGAAAACTTCTGCTGATCGTAAAGGCTATATTTTAGATTAAAAATACAATTCTCAATCATTTTGTCGTTGGTAGTATTTTACACAAAAGTAATGTCAATATATTAGTCACTGAAAATTGACTTATTTTTCATAAAAAGAAGGTCTTAGACAAAAACTGCACTTTTTCTGGGATGATCAGCTTACATTTTAAAAAAATTACACTTTTTCTGGGATGATCAGTTTACATTCTAAAAAAATTATCAAATTCAGAAATAAGTTCAAAAAAATTTAAATTTAAATTATATTTAAATTAAATCTAAATACGTTTATAATTAATTTAAATAACATTTAAATTAATCATATCAAGTGATCGAAAAAAAGTCGACTAAAAGTCTAATTTGCAAGAGTGACATCATTGAAAAGAGCGCGAAAAACTGAGTATTACTCTAAAATATGAGCGTGCGGTATGGCATAGTTTTAAGCAAAAATTTTTAAAATACTATTTCCTGCAAGGAAATTTTTTTTTTATCCTCCTTTATTTTTTCTTTCGTTCTCTCAGCTGCGCTGATACATATGTTCACATGGAACAGAACGAAAAGAAAAACTATCCACATGAATGAATAAGAAGAGACAAGAGGTTGAAGCGTTCTTCTAAATGATAAATGAAATAAATCTATTCAAAGTAAATTAAATAATAAATAATTCAAGTTTCGATAGAATATAAATGAGTTTTCAAATTCAGGAACTTAGTCCATAGCAATAGTATTACGTACTCTTTCAATTAGTTGAAACTTCATTTATCTTAAAAGCTGGCTTTTATCCAATTTTTTATTATTTGAAAATGAAAAAGCTTGAAGGTATTCGGTTGGAACAGGTATAAACTTTTTTTTCATCAATTCAAATAGATCAAAATTTTTTACCTTGATCTGACCGAAAAAAAATAATCATAATAATTAGAAAGAGTGATAAATTTGAATAATAAATAAAGCTTTTGTTGTAATATATTCTAAATTCTCACTAAACGTTTTTAAGAATTGATTTTACAAAAACCTAACAAAGATCTTTGAATCATTGTAAAATTTTTTTTTCTTATTCATGTTTAGTTTACTTCATCGAATTGCTTCACGAGTACGTGTTCGCAACACGTGCTTATGAAACAGCTTGATGAAGAAGAACGAACATCATAAAGAAAAATATGTTTTGAATGAGTGAAAAACCTTTGTTTTTTGGCTTTTAAAATGAATTCTTAACAATGTTTACTGAAGATATTATTTAGTTTTATCGGTATTTCTACTCATGTAATTTTTTTTATACGAACCCTTTCAAAAAATTTTATCTTATGCCGACAATTAGAATTATATTTCTAAAAATACCATCAAAAACTGAGCTAGCAGCACGAATTAATTTGGAGGGGTATTATCAGCAGAGGTTCAAATCTACCGACTTCATGTAGACCTGGCCTGCCCGCTGAAGCTTCTGTGCAGTTTTCATATGGTAACACTAGATAATAATTAAGCGAAACCTTCAAACAGCCGTCATAAAAATGAACAAGAGAGTCATGTAAATAAGAGTGAAATGATTAGATGAAAAATTTATAGATTCAAAAACTTTATGTCTACATAAGGCGCAGATGTACATAACACAGTAATATTTAGAAAAATAAGTCTGGTTTTGAATCAAGAACGCTTTGTATAGATCTGACGAAAAGAACGTCGTACACAGCATCAAGATCGAGAGAAGAACGACGTTGAGTAATTGTTAATCTATTCCCGCAGATGTTACCGGGATAGAAACGAGATGACCAGCTAATAAAGTTAAATCGAAAAAATTTTTTGATGATAACGTCAGAATGGTAATGGATTTGGTTGTTTGTAAATATCTTCAATATTCATTCGTAAATATCTTGTAAGTTTATCATTTTTAAATGTAATTATTGGTATTGAATCGATATCATAAGTAGCACTGTCATACATGTTTATCATCGAAGATGAGCATACATTTTAATAATTGAATCAGACGTTTTTGAAAAAAATCAGCTCTTGAAACAGAGAATTACAAATAATGATATATCAAGCTTATTACGTTCAATGTTACCTCTATGACAATCATATATATTAACCCTTTCAGGACGGGATTATTTTTTTGAAAAAAAACACAGAAATAAAATTTCAAGAATCAAATGATTCTAATTTTAATTCAAGTTTATTAATATGACTTTAGAGTATGATACTCTCGAAAACAATTCGGAATGCATAAGCCTACATTGCAATCTGAACATTCGTATCTAGTACGAGATTGTTTTTTTGGTCGTTTGACAGTTGTGCTACAGACAATACATCGTCGTTTTCCTCCACCGGTTAGTGCTGGAAAATGACGAGCCGTCAATCGGAGTGGTTTGTTCGCGGAAGGTCTGCCTCTTCTTGAATGTTGTTGATCGCCATACTTT